CTCTCTCTCTCTCTCTCTCTCTCACTGTGTCTGTGTCCGTCTCTCTTCTTCCTCCGCGCGCTCCTCCTGCTTGTTTTTTTAAAAAAGTCTTTGCTTAAGCAGTATTCTTCTTCTATTCAGTGCATCTTACTTTCGAGATGTGGGTTTACTATAAGATTTTACTTGACAAGTCTAATTTGAAGGCTTTTACTTTTGAAATAGGTTGAGTGAAAACAACCTCAACGTAGCACCTCCTTCGTGATCTTCCTCCTCCCAACCTCTCCTCCCTTTCCCACAAAAAAAACGGGTTAAAAATCACACCACAATTCAAAATACCCCTGACAATCTGCCTCTTACCCCCCCCTTTAAAAGAAAAGCTCAAAACAAAACAAAACCCAAAGTATGATGGGACAACCTCCTCCCCCTTCCCCCTGCAGCCGCTTAAAAGAAAAAGGACCCCAAGTGATACCATCTTCTTTGATACGCTTAACTATAAACGATATAGACGCAACACAAAGGTTTACTGGAATGTTGGCTGAATCAGCGCTTTTCGCTCTCGCAAGATTGACAGATACTTGTAAAAAACAAGTTTCGAGGGATTTTTTTCGAAGGGGAGAGGGAAATCCACGGGGACCAGAGCCAGAGCACATGGTGTAGACAATGATGAAAATGACAATGATGAAAAGCAATTGGAGAACGTCAAATTTATATAAGTTAAGGGAAACACAGAGAAAAGTAACGGTCAAAGTAGCCTAACAGATGAACAATAATTTTTTCTTTTTCTTTTGTCTTCGAAAAATGCGTAAAGAGTCTTTGAACAGAACTGCGCGCCTATATAATCATTCTAACTACATGTGTCTTCTCCTGACCTCTATAAATTTATTGTATTGCTCGTCTTTTGTCGACCTTAGGACACAAACACACATACACACACACAAACACACACACACACACAAACACATACACAAATACATGCTCCCTTCACATACACCCCCATCCCCCCACACCCTCATTCACACACACGCACACACACACACACACACACACACACACACACACACACACACACACACTCACACACACACGTACGCACGGAGCACATAAACACAACAGAACGCTGCCCGTTTAAAATATAAACCGATTCTTTTTTTGATAATAACATTTGATAGTAGGACCTATACTCCAATTTATTCCAAATTTTGAGACTAAACACGTTTTAATTTGTCTAATAGCACATAAACATGGCACTCATCTGACCACTAATAAGCACAATTTTCCATTCATCTTTGTGAATTGAAGAAATTAATTGCGGATTTTACTGAATTAAATCGCGCACGAAGGCCGTGAGCACACATTGTTATAGAGATACACGAAATAAAAACATTCTGTTTGTATAGTGAGTTTACCAACAGATATTGGTCCGACTATGAGCGACATTGTCGCATTATGTACTTGTATTCTACTGTCCGAAAACTATTAGAAAGTGGGATTGTGCAGTAACTGCCAAGTTTTAGCCTTCGCTAGTTGGCGAAAATAGGCCGTGTCGTTTCGTGACCCACCCTTTAATGTGATACTACGATTTCGAAAAAAAAGAAAAAAAAAGAAAGAAATTGTCGATAGAAAAGACACATGGAGGCTATTGAAGTTTTTTCATTCCATTCTAGCTTGAAGGAAAACCAAAGTTATCACCCCCCC